CCCACCCCCCCTGAGAAGGAAGGAGCAGCAGACTGACCATAACCCCCTGTAACCCCTGTTCCCTGTGCCACTGAGGGGGGAAGAGGTAGAGAAATTGGGAACAAAACAGCCGTCGAAGGGAGGGGTGAGAGAAGGTGTTTTTAGGATGTGTTAATGCTTCTCACTGTCCTGCTTTGTCTGTTAAGTGTCATTATTGTTAGAGTTTGAATTAAAAGTGATGGTCTTTTTTTTTCTTCCCCTAAGGAGTCAGCCCTCTCTGTCCTTATCTCCCAAGCTTTTGCTTTATTTCCTTCATCCCATTACTGAGGAGGAAGGGGTGAGAGCGGCTGCCTGGTGCTCAGTTGCCCTCTAGGCTCAAACCAGGACAGTGCTGTTCCAGGAAGGAGAGCATGGGGAGCAGGACTAAGGACACCTTCAGTACTTCTAGTATTCAAGAGCCTCCCAAGTGTAACAATTCTGATTAAATCTTCGGTCTGTAGACTCTAGATCACGGTTATTTGGCACTTACCATTCTAGCAATTTTTGCTCCTGGAGGCTATAACCAGCTGGCAAAAGGTAATTCCGGTAATTCTGAAGCTGGTTAGCGTGACAGCTATCATGGACCCAGATGTGAGACACACAAGGGATCCCTCTGGCAAGGCACAGCAAGTATTTCCGAGTTCGACAATGCTGGTCCGCAATCAAAAGACACTGATAGGCTGCATTACACTTCAGGGAAGATAGAGAGACATGTAAACAGGAGACAGCGCTTCCAAAAAACTCCACAAGTTATGCTGCTGCTAAATGCTTTATAGCAGACAACAACTGAAACCCTGATTTTCACAGTTGTATTATGTGAAAGGTGAATTAAAGAAACAGTTTCTGAAATCAGGAGTACCTAGAATAATCACCTATTCCACACTACACAGTCCACAGGCAAAAACTCTGCCTAGTAGTTTTTGTATTGTAACTATCTCTTCCAGTTCAGACAGAGGAAAAGATTCGTCTTTTATTTTGGACTAATTCACTTGAGACTCTACATCCTCAAGCAAAATGCCCCTATTAAAAAAAAATAAATCTAAATTTAAGTAAAAGTGACGTGAAATCAAACTATTAGCCCAAGTGGATCTGGTAAATAAAGAGCTCTGCCTCCAACTGTTCTGAGGCACAGCACCGTGGTAAGGCTGCAGATGGAGTACTGCATCCACCCCTGGGTCCTGCAAACACAAGACAGGCTGGAGCAGAGCCAGGCAAGGCCCACCGAGATCCCAGGGCACTGGAGCATCTGACACATAAGAAGAGGCTGACAGACATGAGCTTACTTAAGCTCAAAAATGGAAGGCTTTGGGAGGTCTTATCAATACATATTCATGACTGATAGGAGGGTGCACAAAGATGGAGCCAGACGCTTTTCACTGTTACCCACTAAAAGGACAAGAAGCAACAGGTACAAAGTGAAAGACAGAAAATTCCATTTAAAGTAGTGTGGTTTGTTGTTTTGTTTTTTTTTAAATTGGAAGTGGTCAATCACAGGATCAAGCTGCCCAGAGAGGTTGTGGAGTTTCTATCCCTGAGGGTACTCAAAACGCAACTGGACAAGGACCTAAGCAATCTGCTCTACTGGATCCTGCTTTCAGCAGAGGGGGTAGACAAGACAAGCTACAGAACTTCCTTATAATCTCAACTACTCTGTGACTACTGTTCTACATTAGTGAGTGAGGCCTTACCTGGGTTTCATTGAAGTCTTCCAGGATATAGCCAGCTCCTGCTCGCAGCTGCTGTGCTATGTAATGTTTGTCGTATGGAGTCATCTCTAAAAATTCTACAGCAGAAACAGATAGTAATTTTTGGCTATAATTTATCTGCTTATGTCCATACATGCCTCAGTCTACAGAGGCCTCATCCCTGCCAGTAAGGAACCCCAGCCTTTCTTCCAAGAATACCGAGAGAAAACCCTTAGAAGGGTAAAAAAAACCCCAAAACTCAAAAACCAAAAAAAGCAAAAACAGTAGAGAAGGAAGCACAGCACTGGCCAAACTAGCAAGCAAGTACCCTGTCACTTTTCTCATGCTGCAGTTCACTGAATAAAACATGACCCTAGCAAAGGCAAACTGGAGCAACCCATTCATGCTCTCCAGTGCTGTGTTTCCCAGCACGATCCCTGGAGCTCTCAGAACCTTCATTCTCGTATTATACTATTCTGAGACTGCTGATGTCACTAGTTTTCACACCTTTCTTAACTTGCTGAACAGCCCTATGATCATCATTGAGGTTTGCTACATCTCAGGCTGCAAATTCTCTAAAATAAAGACTGACTTTTAGGTCCTTTCTGCAAAGGATTAAAGATCAAAAGAGTAAAACAAGCACTCACACAAATGCCTGATCAGACAGCATCCAGTGTTTTTGCTAAAGCCACAGCATTCCATTTGGAAATGCAATGGGTAAGATTTGCCTCACCTTCTTCCTCCTCACTACTTCCTGTGGGACCATCTGATGGCTTCTGGTGACTGACCAATTTGTCAGTGGGTGTTGCCATGGTGAGGAGAAAGGCATAGCCCAAAAAAAGGGTTTTATTGTTGGGCAAGGGTCCATGATGGTCCTCCAGCACTGGGGGATCTACAGCATCAGCACCTTCACAGGTGCTTACAAACTCTCCGGCTCTCACAGCCCCTGCAGAGAGACAGAAGCACCACGAGTCTCAAAAGTCAGAGTTGGCACAAACACCCTGCATAAGATCTGGGATATGTTCAACTTCAGTTATGTTACTGGAGGAGACAGAGGGAGGCAGGACTGGGTTAGGATTACACTAGGATAGGCAGGAATCTTCTACTCTTCTGGATGCAAAGAATCTTCAAATCAAAACCTGAATGACTAATGGCACAATGCTCACCAGTATCAACATCCTGAAACAATACTTACTGTGGTGAAGGGTCCCTTTAATCACCAGGTATTTCAGGACTGACTAAACAGATAAAAAACCAGATAGGCAAAACTGAAAAAATGGCAGGTGAGTACTGAGACTATGCTAAAAACATCTCTGGCTTCTGAATGCATCCAGAGAGAATAAGTCTCAAATCCTGCAAACAAGCAAGCTGAGCTGCTCTTTGCTTATGGGACAGATCAATTACAAAAATACCAGGAAGGGAAAAAACAACTGAATGCAAATTTAGGAGCAGAAAATAAAGTTCTCACCAGGCTTTATCACTGACGACTTGTGGCCACGTTTAGCTGGGGATATCTCATCTTCAGAAGCAACAAGCTTCCTCTTCCCTGACAGTGTGCCTAGTGGGACGCGTGGACTCTCCTGCCGTTTACGAGTGGGAGTTGTGCTGCTGCTGGAAGTGCTGGGAGAACCAAGGTTACTACGTCGCTTCCTCTTCCCCTCCACAAGATTATCTGGAATACAGTATGTAGAGAGTAGTCACTGGCTGTCAGCTAACTCCACGAGCTTTCACCCTACCTATCTGTACAGAGGTAGCTAAACTCTAGGTAGGTACACACTACCACCCTGACAGAGAAGAGCAACAAAAAAGATACCTTGCTCGTATACCTTTCTTCTCCAGCCCTGTACCCTGCCTGTCTCCTTTGCTCCCGATACTGCTGAGGAGTTTGTATCCCAGCAGCCATCCACCAAGTGTCAATGAGGCCAGCAAGTATCACTGTGCTAGGAGCAGGCCTTCTCCACAAGCCAGTCAATACCACTAAGTCTCTGAGCAAGATACAAAACAATAGAAGGATCTCAATGATCCCATTAGGAAGTACCACTGCTGAATATCCAGAAAGATTTTAACACTGGTAATGCAGATCAGGAGCTAGAAGCATCTCAAAGGCACAGGACACAGAACAGCACAGCCAGCAGCTCAACAGTGCCTCCCCTTACCGAGACTGATGTCAGCTGCTTTGGTCAGGGGGGTGACAGGTTCGTAAGGACCCAGCCCAAACTGCTCCCGGAGCTTATTTCCTTGTTCCAGAGACAGGATAACAGCCATTCGTTTGTACCACTTCCTCTGGCCTTCCTTCTCAATGCAGTAGTACAGCTCTCCAGACTCCTTCCGGTGTCCCTTCACCACACCTGATGAGACAGCAAGTAACACCCACTAACCAGCCATACCCAGGCTCCTCATCCTCCTGGAGAGTCGCCCATTTCCCAACTCAGAAAACCCAAGGATGGAGCTCACCCACTGCTCACCTGCGCTGAAGTACTCGTCCTCTGAGAGTGCAGTCACCTCAGTCTCCAGGGGGATGGGATCACAGAGTAAAATATCTTTTCCAAGCACATCACATTCATATCCGTCATCAAAGAGCAGCTTGTACTTTCCTGCCCCAACATCCTGGGTAATCATCCCGGAATAGAAGTATCCATTTGAGGACCACTTTGCTACAACCCTGAGGCCTACAAAGCTGCTCCCAGAGGACGAGTCTGCACATTCCGAAGGACCAGTCACCACTTGTAATGGGATTTCTGGAGAGTCACTTCGACGTAAGGCACAGAAGCCAGAAGCATCAGATTTCTCCCCTCCATCTGGCAGGCGAACTGAACGAGTAAATGACTTCTCCTCAGGTGATGCTGTAGTTGAGAGATCCTCCACTCCTGGCAGTCCAGCCAAATCTCTGTAGAAAAGAGAAAAGCAGTCCCAGAAGGAAAGAAGAGAAAAGCAGTCCCAGGAGGATCAAGAAAAACAGTTACTATACAAAGAGTACTTGGGTGAGACGCCTGCAGCTGCTGCATGCTATCACCAAAAACTAGCTCCCGAAACATTCAGTACTCCTCTTCCTCTGTCACATTAAGACAGCAGCTCCCCATCCTCTTCCTTGGCAATAAATTAAAGTTACAGTCTCCTTTTTCCAGGGTACCTTGTTCCTGTTGTTCGAGATGGTGGGCGGCCTCTTCTTCCTCGCCCTCGAGGTGTCACAGGTGCTCTGCCACCCTGACGAGTGCCAGACATAGAGTCCTCCTCTTCCTCACAAGGCAGTGCTGCTCCTGCCTGGCTAACTCGGAGCGGAGATGCTGGCTGACCAGCTCCTTTCCTAGGGCTGGAGAAAAGAGAAGCCAGCTCATAATCACAGCCCATTTTCTCTGCGATCTCACAACTGGTCAAGAAGTTTGCTAAACTGGCAAGAGCTTAGTCAAAGCAACAGCACACAAGGAAACAAACGACTCCTTCAGGAAGAACAGATGTGAAAGCAAAGAATACATCCTTATTTCAGTTCATCAAGCCAGATCCTTCCCAGAAAATTCTTGCCTTAAGGTTTACCCTGCTTCACACTCCACCCAAGCCAGATGTTCACTTCTGTAAAGTATCTGTTCTTCCTCCCCCAGGGTTCTGCACATACCTTAATTTTCCTAAGACACCTCTGCCAATGGGTAAAGCAAACTCTCCAGTTTCTGTCCCACACACTTTCCCTTTAACAGCTCCAGTTCCTCGCCCTGAGCTGCTGCTGCTGCTGTGTGTGGCAGAGTGACCACTGCTTGCTCCACTTGATGTACGGTGAAGGCTTGAGGCCTTGGAGGAGAAGGAGCTGACATCACCAAGGTCCCCTGAGGTCAGCGATGAGCCCACTGCAGTTCTGGAGGAGGATGTGTCAGTCTCACACTCCTGGCACTCCACTACAGGCTCCTCAGCTTCCTTAAAGGGGGGGGGGGGAAGAAAAAAAAAAGGTTCAAAGGTGATGCACTTGCTAGATGGAAGCTCTACAACCAGGTGAGGTCATGCGCGTGATGCTGAAGACAGCCATGCAGATTTGAGTCTGCACTGATCAATGGCAGACAGCGTGTCTCTCGGCACAGGGCTGTCACTGTTCTGTACAAAGAAGCTACATTAAGAAATCAGTCAACAGGACAGTCTGGCTTTCAACAATTCCCATCCTTTGAGAGTGCAACAAATACATGAGACACCATCAGCCTTTGGTTACTAATGACCCAAGATCAGCTTCAGGCAGCTGGTCATCTGAAGCCATTAGAGTTTTATGGATATAAAAATACGTAACTACAAACTAGCAATATCCACTGTTGGTAGATAAACTGGAAATGGTTATGTGATTGTGATTACACAACCTACGTAAGCACCTTTCAGGAAGCTTAAATTTTTTAAGTTACTATAAGCAATAAGATTTTCTGATTAATGAATGGACATACACCAACACAAGTGTACTAACAATAGGTTTCCTTATGTTTTGGTTTTAGGTTGCTTTTTGTAGTTCTCTTATGGAATCTGGTCCACAGAACTCAAAAAAGCGTGGTCAAAAGTGACGCTGAGCTACAAAACAGGCTAAACTACCTTATATCATTCCATTTTACAGGCAGCAGTGACTTTTGCTTACTAATAGAATTTCTGCCCATTCTGAAATCTCTCTATTCTGACAGAAACCCAAGAGTTTTAAAGCAGTTGGATGTACATAGCAGGGTCTTTTGTTCAGTTCTTTGGGAAGAAAAAAGGTCAGTGTCTTCAGAATACAGTAATGGGCACAAAGTACAGCAGCAACAAACAAACAGCTTTTACCACACACCGAACACTCTGCCTGGTCACTCACAAAGAACGTTTGTCATCACAGTACGGTGACTTGTTCACTCAACTCCTTTTCTGCAGCCACAACACATTCTCATTTTAATTTATTTTTCAGCCAATGTATCATTACATTTGGCCCTGAAAACAGGAACTTACCTCAACAACCTTTCGTTCCACCTCTGCACCATTTATGTAGTAGACATCTGTTATAACACGGGTAACCACAGTGCGTACTTCTCTAATAGTCCGTGTGTGGCGGTGCTGAACTCGGCCTTTCGGTGGGTGGAGAAGGTTAAACTCCTCCTCTCCCTGTTATAAACAGGACAATTAAAAACAAAACAGACAGCAATGAAAAGCAAGTAATTTCCTTTCTTTATTTAAAATTTCATGCAACTCATTTCCATCCAACAAAAAGTGAAATTTTTTCTACAGTGTTAACCACATCTGGACAGCCCCCCCCCAACACCCAAATAAACCAACCAAACTTGTGTTTTTTTTCTAGAAAATAAATATGCTGCCTAGTGAGCACTGCTACCCAGAAGTTGTGTACAGTTGATACAGAAAAGTTTGTGACATTAACAGTTTAAAGTGGTCTTTTGGCTTTTTTCGACAGAGAACCTACTGCCAGTGAATCTACTGGCTGAAGAGACACTTCACTGTTCTAAAGCAGTAAAATTAAATACAGGCAGCCTTCATCCCACCTGACTGTGCAGAGAGTCTGTGTCCTCTCCAGAGGCATTCACAAGCTTTTCTTCGCTCTCCTCGGTTTGGACATCTGCATCTTGCCGCCCAGGTCTCTGCCCAGACATACTGGTTCCCACTTCCACCTGCCTACAGGTTTCTTCTGCTGTTTGTGTTGCTGTTGTAACAGTTGTTGGGGTAAAAAGAGAGTCTTCTGTAGTCTGAGTCCCTTTATTCTTTGTGTTTGCCCGCCTCTCTCTGCTTTCATCAACTTCATCAGCCTTACTTGGTTTCTCCTCCATTTTTCTCCCTTCTTCTGCCTGAGTGCTTACAATACCAGTCTCCACTGACTCCCCATCCTCTGCACCAGGAGGCTGCTGAGGGCAGACCTGCGACATCCTCTGTCCACCACTGTCATCTGCCTTGTGTTGCTGGTACTGCCAATCACCTGGGTTTTTACGTAATTCAGCATCTTCTTGTGTGCCAGGAAAACTGAACAGATTCCCCCTGCAAACCAGTTATATACAGATCAAAATTACTGATTAAAAAAAGCAAGACAACCAATATGCTGCCACTCAATTACTTCTTAAGATTGCACAGAACTCAGCGAGTTTCAAATTATAAAATAACCTTTCAGCATCAGAAGGGATTCGCACAGTAGCAAGAAGAATGGCTGACACCTGTAGAGAACCAGGTGTTTTTCCAAACACTAATAAAGCAATCTACACTCCGCACATCAGGCACCAACTACGCAACGTGCTTCTGGAAGCCATGCCCTCCTGAGCTGCTACAGGCTGCTTCAGCACTTCGATGCCTTGGAACTGGTAACCACACCTAGCGAGGAGAGGCAGGAGCACAGACACAAATGCTGTCTCATGTTTTCATTAGAATTTGTCTGTCCTGTCAAAAGTGTTATCAGGGACTATACTGGACTGTACGCTGAGCCTTACTAGGCGCATACATCTGGGTTCCCTCATGTACTTGAGGACTTTGCAGAGTGACCATTCTGCTCTGTCTGTACACCACCCAGCACTGGAACTCCCTATTCATTACAGTCTTCAGTGTAACTGTTCAGTGCTCTTGACATATAGGTTACTCTTTTTCCATAGACCAAGATCTCACTGCCCCACTGAAGAAGCAGATTTCTACACCCGGTCCTCTAGCCAGCACCCTGATCACCATTAGATATGCAGCAGCACAGTGCTTTTCAAAGCAACCAGAGACAGCAAAAACTGATGGACTTGGAAGGGAAGGGAGACAACAGCAGAAACAATAACAAACAAAACAGGTCAGAAGATCTTGGAAGAAGGAGAAAGAAAAGGTATTAGATCAGCTCTAAGTACAATCTTAGTTCTCTCAAGCCCCAGACTTTACTGAAGCACATTAAGCCAGCTGGAATCACATTGCTGCTCAGTCAAAAAGGTCTGATCACCATGTCAGATACAAACATACAGTATTTATTATACTTACCCCGTTGTCCCCAACCTTCTAAGTCACCCAAAGACAATGACTTAGTGCAATTTCTTTGATGCAGAAAATGCACATGTGCATATAAATCCAACCAGGACTGGCAGGCAAAGACTGTGAGGAGTTACCTAAACGGAGAAGTGGAAAGACCATGACCTCTGGCCTCATCCTCTCGACGAACTTCACAGACACGACTAAACACAGATGATGCTTTCTGGGAGCTAGCAGTGCAGATTTAAAACAAACAAACAAACAAAATAGCATCAGGGAGTGAGAAAATCCCTTAGACAGCAAAACAAGAGTTTTCTAGCCCCTTGGGGAAGCAACAATTGGTATCGAGCTTGTTGACCAATACAGCCACAGAACAAGTGAGACGGTCAGTCTCAAAGGTCAAGAAACAAGCTGCAACTGCATAAGCATTTCTGTCATTTCTGCAGATGCCCTAACAGATAAGAGTAATGCAACAATTCCAGAAAACAGCATGGAAAACTGCAGCACCATTAGGAGTTTCACCATCTACTACCTCTGGTACCCATCAGAGGACACAGACCCTTTATCGCTTACTACTTAGGATTTTCACAACACCCCAAAAATACTGGGAATGACAGTCATAAAGCAGACCCTGAGAGGTCAAGTTCTCCTCTATCTAACAAAGGCAACCCATCCTCAATCAGCGAGGAATGACTGCCCACTCATCTTCAGCACTGAGGCGTGACCACCATCCAGCACGCAGCCCTGTGACAAGAGATACTGACTTCATTTCAAAGTTTTCTCACTGCTTCCAAATGGTAAAATGGTAAAAAAACATTTTACTTCACTCAGATGACTATAGGTCACTATCTTCTGACTCAGCTTCTTATCAGTACTTACAGACTGTACTCCCCAAGCTAAAATTAAGCAACGCATAACGGCATTACACGTGAGATAAGATAGATAGATAGATAGATACATACAGATCAAGAGACCAAGGGAGTAACTTATGCTTTGGTCAACCCATTAAACTGTGATTTCAGTACACTGATGACATGGTTATGTTTCTATCAGCTTCATATCAAAACGAGAATTCCCTTTCAGAACTCCTCAGAGACTCTTTGCAGAAAATTGCACAACAGGAAAGCATAAAACCATGTCTGGAATTTGAGAGGTGGATAGGGCAGACCTGCATTCCAGACAGCGCAAGACATGAATTTCTGCTTTGACTACAATCAGAAGGAAGCAAAATGCTGACATTAGTAGGAAGCACAAAGCCCACAGCAAAAGAGCAGGTGGAGCACCCACCTTGCCTATGTACTTAAAACCTGCTGCGAGAACTGAAGAGTTAATGTCTACTGCTAAAATAGTTCCCTGCTTCAGTGTCTCATTTTAATTATTTTTTTTTTTCTGCTGCTGGTAACAAGTGGAAAAAGGATCTACCCAAACCTTCATATTAACTCTGCACAGCAACAAACCGTTACCTGGCAGCAGCAGAGGATCCATCTTTCCTGTCACTGGCTGTAGGCTCTGAAACAAGAAGGAAGGGAACTGTTATTTCGGTGTCTCCTGAACAGACTGTCCTGCCTGTTCCCAGCCCCTGCCACTCATGGAAGAGAGGTTGAGTAACGCTAGACAAAGGGTGCCCAGTCCTCCATGGACAACTTCTCACCACAAAGTTTCTACAAGTTTTAGACTATTAGACTGAATGTTATTGTTCTGGTTAAAATGTTGACAAACGTTTTTGTGCAGATTATACCTTTAATATCTTTTCCCTCCCAATATAATCAAATCCAGTTCCTGTCCTGTGACAGTATACATCACAATTTTTAGTCTGCTGGAAATACCATTCTTCACAACAGAGGCCTCTCCTCTCACTCCATCCTTGCTTAGAGCATTGCAGAAACAGAGAAACAAATTTAAGTGACACTGCCCAAAAAGAAAAATGAGAAAAATTACAGAGACTGTCGCAGGGAACGCCACAAAGAGGTTCTGTGTTAGAGCTGAGATCTAGTAGGACCCGTATGTTTCGAGGGTTCATCCTCTTACTTTCCAAGCTGAACGGCAGGGACTCCTCACTCCCGTCACTCACAGGGGTAACAAGGTTCATTCGCAGAGAGAGTTTTGCATCAGCCTCGGGAACCACATGAGAATCTCCTTTCTCACACACGTCTGACACATCTGCCGATACCACTGCACTTTCCACGGTGATGTTGTTGGTGCCCATTGTGCCCTCTGCTGTAACATCACTAGTCACTATAGTGCTGTCTGGGCAACTATCATCCACTGAAAATAGGAAACAAACAAAAAAATACCCCAGAAAGCAGCTACTGTCATTCACACTGCTGGAGTTCAGGTCCCAGTTCTGTTTTGAAGATGCTTCACTGCACACCTTACTTGCAATAGTGCAGTAGCAGAAATTTCTATCTAGGGTTCTGAAGCATGAAAATTCTATAGCACAGGCATCAGAAATACACACTTGTGCTCGGGGAGTGTGCGTGCAGCGGCGGGGGGGGGGCCATTACAGCAGTGGCCCCTGTGAGAAGCTTCTGGAAGCTCCCCCGGCTCCAAGTCAGACCCGCCTCTGGCCAGGGCCAAGCCAACCACCGACAGCGGCTGCGCCTCCGCGATAAGGTCTTTAAGAAGGGGAACCTGGGAGGAAGAATTAGGGCTGTGAGGAGGGGTTACGACACTTCTGCGAAACCCCAGGTCAGTGGAAGGAAGGAGGAGGAAGGGGGAAGGTGCTGGAGCAGAGCCCCCTGACCCCCGTGGTGAGATGGCAGGACCCCCCCACACCCGCAGGGATCACTGGAGGAGCAAAGGCCGACCTGGGGAGGGGACTGCACCCGGAAGAGACCAGGACTCTGAAGGGAGAAGCAGCCCCCGCTGCTCTACTCATGACAGAGAAGGTTTGTGGAAGACTGTCTCCTGTGAGAGGGGCATCATGTGGAGCAAGGGAAGAACGTGTGAAGTTTCCCCCCTTGCCCCCATCTCAACGAAGAAGCAGCAGAACCCCCATTCCCTGCCCCCTGTGCTACTGGAGTGGGGGAAAGAGGTAGAGGGATCGGGAGCAAAGCCAAGCACAGGAAAAAGGGAGGGGTGGGAGAAGGTGTTCTTAAGATGTGGTAACACTTCCCACTGTCCTACTCTGTCTGTTTAGCATTGTTGTCAGTGTTCGAATTAAATCGATGGGTTTTAATTCCCTTAATGAGTCTGTCTTTTGCCTGTGACCATAATGGGTGAGTTGGCCCCCTGTCCTTATCTCAATTCCTGAGCTTTTGCTTTATATCTGCCAGTGAATTACTGAGAGGAAAGGTGTGCAAGTGGCTGCCCGGTGCTCAGTCTGGGCTCAAACCAGGACACTGCTTCCTTTCATCCAGCACTCACAGGGTGCTTTTTGAACCCAGCAGAGAAATTCCTACTAAAAGATGATGAATACTAGGAATAATCTTCTCTTACTCTAAACTCTTTTACTACTCAGATGGGTCTTTTGCATTCTTTAATGGAGTTGTATGTAGGAATGCAGTGAGTACAAGGAAGACATGTTCCATACCACCCCACACTCAGGGAACAAACACCTTGGCCAGAGATTGAGGAGAGAACCTAACAAGGAAGGTGTGGAGAAGGCCCAAACCCTCCCCATAGAACAGCAGTTTTCTGCTAAGGTAGGTTTGAGTTACCCCATCAGTAATCAAATGCTTCCCCACAGGCTTCCGCTGCGGAACAGAGCGGCATGGGTCCAACTCACCGATGGGTGTGCTGTGTCTTCTGGGTCCCATTTTAAGCTGGCCAATAAGAGGTGGCGTTATGCTGGTCAAGGGCTCAATGACATCACCCTCCTTCGGCAAGGTAAAATGAAACAGGGTTCCTAAAAGAGAAAAAGTTACAGGATCAGTAATTTCAGGGGACTGCTTTGGTTCAGATACGAAAAGCACATGTTCACTATGCTGTGGAAATGGGGAAAAGCATCACCCTGGTGCTGTTCTGTACAAACCCCCCCTGAACAGCTACTGGTTTCAGGACAGCTGCTTTAACTGATCTTCCTCACAATTCATGTGGAAAGTCTCTCTCGGTAAAAATCTGGGCTGTGGTCAACTTGATGCAGCTGTCCCCAGGTGCCAGGTAAAAGTCAGACTAAATATCCTGACAGGAATAGGACTTTTACAGAATGCAGCTCTGCTTCAGAAATACTCAGAATTTTCCACAGAAAAGGGAGATGAGGCCAGAAACAGAAATGAAGGTTAGGATAGAAGGCAATTGGCAGAGCTATCTGTTGCCTGAATTACCAACCTGAAACTTAAGCGGAATGATGCTTTATCATCAAACAGCCTTGGATAAAAGGTCATAAGGTACACATCAGCCAGCCAGCCACCTCTGAGCCGAAACAATTAGTAGCAGTCAATTAAGGGTTAGATAACGACAGCAGAAACTTGCCTGGAAAGTGAGCTTTAAGAGAATTAAGAGATACTGCTGTTTCATAAACAGCTGCAAGCTGCCACCAGAAGGGCTGGCCCCATCCTCCTGTCCTCTCCAGTATTTCTACTCCTTCTCAGGGCAGCCTACAGCACAGAGGGTCTGCGGGCCACGCCTTGGTGGATTTACCCTATGGGGATATCTTGCAGGATTTAACAGATAAAATATATTAAGAACCGAGTAAAATGTTCCCTCCTTTTCCCTCATCCCATGCCATTTATTTGCAAACCCTCAACTTCACATACCAGTAACCTGCAGGCTGCATTCTTTCCAAATTTCCATATTTAACAAAACTAATGGAATAACTCTGTCCTCCATCACTGAAGTCAAAATAGGTTTTCAGCATCTTTGTCACTATCCTTCTTATCCACTCCAAAGAGTGGCTTATTGTTCTCTTTTAAAAGTAAATCCAGCCAAGTGTGATGCGTTTAAGTTACATTTAGATTTATATAAGAAAAAACATTTCAAGTACAATATAACAGGGGAGATGTTACCTTAAGTTAAATGCAATTTTGCTCATGCTCTCTTAAAAGAGAAGTTTTGGATTGTGAACTCTGTGAAAGGCCATTAAACCTTGTTACATAACTACAGCTACTTAGCATCATTTCAGCAGTGTACTGCCAAACATATCACTTTGTTTAATAAAATCTATACTGTTCTCTTAACTATGCCAAATTGTCTTAAGAAACATGCAGACCCATCATACCAAATGCCTTGGACTTGTTCATAGAAAAGTTAATTTTAGATCACAAAATGCAATGGCATCAGAGCACCTCTGAACTTCCTGACCTGTATTTTGACCAGATCCCCCCCAAGCATTACTTTTTATAGAATAAAGCTTTTCTTCTTTTAGTTAAAAGAAATTAAGAATACTGTACCTAAAACTTCATCATTCAACTTCATGTTAAATAACATTTGAGCTCCTGCACCCTAATAGACTTACTAGAAAGGAAATAGATTTTCTGATACTAATATAAAATTCCTTCATTCTTGCCATGTGCAAGTTTCTACATAAAATGTAAATTCTCACATTTTAAAGTCTTCAGAATTAGAGGGCATCAAATGAAACTAACACCTGGTGAAATAGAGCTGGTTTTTCACCCAGTACATAATTTAAACTGTCAAAATTCCTACTGCAGGAAGCTTTGAAGTCTAAAAGTTTACAGAGGTTAAAAAAAATCCCCAAACCACGCACAGAAATTTCATGGTGGGGGAACAAAACCACACCTACCCAAGATATCAAAAAAAAGATATTACTTCAGACTCAGCACGCTCCTAAATCATACTTTTGATGGTGAAAGAGAGAATTCTTCAGAAGTATCTCTCCACTGCATTTTTGTCCTATATTCATCCATATGTATCTCCTATTCCGTACTGTGGGAACTTGTATACCAAGCCAGACTGATGCAGTATAACTGTTCTTCTGACTGTTGTATCTCAATTCACCGAAACCATCACTTTCAGCCTTCAGTTCAGAGTTATCACAAAGGCACAATGACCTATTGCAAGACACTGAATGGGAAAGACTGCAAAAACCCCACCTCGACAACAAAAAGCCATTAAATGGCAACAGAATAATCTAACACTAGCAAAGCAGCTGTTCTTGGTCCACAGAGTATCTCAAACCCTGGTGATTCAAATTTGGTGTGCAGCCTCCAAAATATGTCACAGAAGCATTTTGGTTTTTTCCCTAGTTTGAAAAATACAGCACAAGTCAATTGTACCACTTATAAACAATATTCAAAGCTTTCCCTGAATATGATTAGAGAGGCAGCCTTCAAACTTTGGATAAGATGTTGCTAGAACACATCTAAATGCTACAAAGAACTTAAATATGAAATTGATGACACTACTGTCTTGACTGAGAAAAGAACCCATGAATTGCCTCCAGCATGTTACTTGCTTAGCACCAGTTCCCTAAGCTGACAAAGACTGTACTGTCAGAGGATGCACTACATTAAAAAAAAAAAAAAAATCATTGCATTTCTGGCCAACTGACATACTCCACTTTCATGCTCAACAACAAAGTAGTTTGCTACAACAAAGAAAGCAATGGTCACTAGTTATGGGATGTTAAAGAATGTGAAACCAAAAAAGCACCCAAACATCTGACTGGTCCTAATGCACTTGAAAGAATGGGTGTAAAAGTTACATCAGTTAAATTGTTATGATAGCTGTGATATTAAGCAGTGCTCAACAATACAGATTAATTCATATGACTAAGTTACTGAGAAAGTGGAGTTTTTAAATCTAAAGAAAGAAAATACCAGAAGCCCTAAAGCACAGGAATTTTTACATGACTAAATGTATGCATAGCTCAAAATGCAGAAGCTGTTCTCAGATGCCAGTGATGTTGAAGTGCTGTGGTCACAACAATCCATACTCCTTGAAAATAATTTGAGTTGTATTTTGTTTTAGAATAGGTCAATAGATCCTTATAACAAAGTCTAGCTTGAAAACGGCTCTTAACTTTTGCTGGAAGTCTCTCCAAAACAAATGACCTGTATCTCTTTGCCACACCTCACTGTAATCTAAAACCAAGAGGCATCAATGTTTACCTGTCATCTTACAACGTAACATGCTACCTTCATCCTGTCTTTTTGTATTCTCGTTTCTTCTCACCAGCCAGTCCCATACTATTAAATGGCATCTTTTTCAAACTTGTCAGCAAATCTGCTATTGAAAACACATGTATTACACTCAAACTCTGTACATCCAATCTCCATCTAGCATTTCAAAGTCATCTCACCTACTTCTGTTCAGACATAAAGAAGAAAGCTCTTCATCTTGCTCCTTTTGAAATCTGCCATTTTGACCTTTCCAAACAGGATCACATGTTGCAGAAGTCAGCATGGTTCAAGGTCACAAGAACTGAAGAAAAGGGGAGGGAACCATTTAAGAACAAGCTCAAAAGGCTTTCAGGAAGAAACAGCCAAAGCTGCCAAAAATGGCTGTAAGGATCAGTTCGTAACTGGAAAAATTAAACAAGTAGTTGAGAAAACAGTAAGAAAGAATATTGGATTTGTGAGACTGATAAGGAAATTTCTGAAAAAGTTCTAAAGAAATGTACAGCTCTTGAAAAAACATCCAAACATAAACTGGCAGATAAAATAGGAGAGATATCCCTCACTGACAAAGGACAGAAAGTTATTCAGACCAGTTATCAACTGAGTAGGAAAAAAGACAGAAAGAAGGCTGAGTGTTAGGAAATGGTTTTTAAGCACTGTGTCTTACACTAATTTCTCAAAAAGGAAAACTAGAAAAGATTATCACTTGCACAAAGCTCTGCAGAACAGACTACAGGGCTACATAACAATACCATGACCTTTGAGAGGTAAGAGAAATACTATCTAGCCCACAGCTTTATAGGTTCCACAAATCAAAATCACAGACTAGTCCATCTGAATCTAGCAGATAGTTCACAATCACCTTCCCCAATAGACATCTCATTTAATTCTAATAGCACTGCACAACTATTGATCTTCCACTGAACTCTAACTGAAGGACTTGGGTAACTGACAGAGCATACACCACCTAGCACATCAGTGAAGAGTTAAATAAACCTCTACTAACATACCAGTCTGTTCAGGAGATGTAAAGACAACCATCGCCTGTTGACAAATAACGTTTTAAGATCCTCAACTTTCATAATCACCAACTTCAGGAGCCTGGAAGTCACCTACCATCATCATACAAGGGGGAAAACTCTCTCCCACTCTCATCCTGCAGTTTAATGAAAGATGACCTAAATCTCAAAAATGGGTATGACTCAAGACAAAGCTCTAGTAAAACTTTGTTTTCCAATACCTTCCTATTTGAGGAGTACAGAACCAACTAAGAGGCAAAAGCTCCACAAAACTCAGGTACAGCACCTCACATTCCTTGCACAGAAGAGCATGTTAAAGGGATTTCAATGCATCATGACAACACCTGCTGAGCCACAGCTTACAGACGAGTGAAAAGCCATTCTACTCTAAAATAATCTGAGAAAGAAAAAAAGGAGACCTACAAGAGGGAAAGCAGAGACTACCACACTCCTTCTTCCTTTCAAGGACACTACTGTTGCTGCTTCTAGGCAAAAAAAAAAAGTTACAAAAATCTGAGCATTGCCAAGGTCACAACATTTTGAGTTTTCAAAGTTGCTCTTTGTTTCTGCCACAAAACTGTGAGAAAGTGTTAGGAACAAGAACTACTTTATCATTCTTGCCTGCAGTAGTGTGATAAAAATAATTTTTAAAAGGCATGTTATGCACTAACACAGTAATTGTAGTGCTGCTCTTGAGACACTGTGCAACACATCCAAGGTCAGCACTCCCTGAAAACAGGGAGGATTGTACACAGGTGTCCTTGACATCATTCAGAACACACATCTGCAAACTACTAACCTAAATTCACTTACCACTAGGACTAGGGGATTTAGCAGTTGCCTTCTCCTGTGGCTGCCTCTGCTCTTCTCCATCCAGGCTCCTTGTTGTAACAGTATCCTCTGTATTCTTTGGCACCCGATTCTCCTGCTGAGTCACCGGCATGTCAACCCCTCTCTCTTGAGGTGGTGGCTTATTTCCTATTACCATTATCTGTCCTAGTTCTGAACAACCTGGGTGTTTTTTTCCACACAGTGCCACTTCCAATGGAAGATCACTCTTTAACTTAGGAAACAGATTGTTGTGCTGCTCCAGTAACTCTGCTGCAGAAGTCTTAGATAAAACTTTATTGAGCCTTGGCATGTTCTCCAAAGCAGACTTAAATGACAGTTTATCCATGCTCTTTGACACTCCACTGCCAGAAGTACATTCTTTTGAAGTTTCTTTTCTCTGGCTTTCTGGTCCCGTATTTCCTAATTCTTCGGCCTGATCAGACAAATTTTTGCTATTTTTACAAGAACCATCAGCAAATTCCACTTCCATATCTTCATGACACTGTACTTCCCTTTCAAGAATAAACCTCTGAGAATGCGTTGTATTAACATGGGACCCATCTTCATTTATTTGCTTCTCTTTTACTTCCAGTTTTTCTTCTTGTTCTTCACACTGAGTCTCAGGAACTGCTTCAGGTTCAGAAGTCTCTTCCAATGGATAATCCTCAGACTGTGTTTCTCTATTCAAAGTGCATGACAAAACCTCAGGCAGACCAGACTGATCTGCAGCAGTCTGACTTCCAGAAATACACTCAATCTCCCGATGAGCTGTAGGGGCTAATGACACATCTGCTACCCCTTCACTAACTAACTGCATTACAGGCTTTCCTGCAGTTTGTAAATCCTCCTTTTTTGCTTTTTCACAGTTTTCAGAAAGGGCTTGATCACTTGCATCCAGCCTCAGTTTTACACTGTCATTCTCCGCAGAAGAGAGCTTCGAGTCTGAGGCTTCACACTCAGAAATCATCCCCACCTGCGTGGTTTCACTGTCTTGGCCCGTGTTCAGAGAACCTGAGCTGACCTCTGCATTTGTGGGCTGGTTACATTCACTTGCAGAAAGCATCAGCTTACACGACTCGGAAGGCTGTGACATGGAGTCACTTGCAGACATCTTTGACAAAGCATCTGTAGGTCCAGAGAGATCTCCTGGTAAGCATAAATGGGTTAAAGGAGCAGCTTTTTCTCCTTCATGCTTCTTCTCTGGGGTCTGAGTTGGAACAAAGATATCCTAAAATGAAGAGAGTGGGACATGGAACATCAGGGCATCCTGGGTAACACCTTTTATCTGTTATTCCTAGAACATTACACTGGATTATGGAGCAGAGGAAGCTCAGCACAAAACTACAGATAAAAAAGCCCAACTTCCTCCCCCCCCCCCATTTGGAAGAGTCATAATTGCTCCATTCTTGCTGAGAAAAATTATCACCACCCATTACTTTTTAGTACCTCTGCAGCAAAGTCAGACACAATCCTTGGTACACCTCTCACACTACCAAATCATGAAGTACAGTCCAAGTATGGCAAATCAGTAGCTATTTTTAGTCAAACAAGGGTTCTGGAAAAATTCACTGGAGAAATCTATCACATTAGCATCACATACTTTCAGCTAAGGAGAAGCCCTGCTTGCTTTGACTACTGAGTCTCTAGAACAACCTTTATTTTCTGCCTTAAATTGATGAAATTTGTAATATTAAGCTATAAATCCACCAACTGTCTGTTAAAACCCTTCGAACAGTAGTAACTTCCAGAATGAAAAAGCACAAAGCAAACAACAGATAACAGGCAACTTGAAAAATGCAGTAAAAGAATTCTAGCTTTGTAGGCGAATACAAACGCTTTATCACAAAACAGCTTCACTTTCTCTGTAACAAATTATGCCAAGGTCTATCCTGATAAAAGCCTAATTTATGACACAATTGAGATGCAGAACGCCCAATTCATCATGAGAAAGCAGAAGCCTTTCAAAGAGAGAAAGGAAAAAAACCCACAGAAAAGGTTTCTAGCACAGATTACAAGACAACAAATTCCAGGTTCAGTAACTCACTCTATGTCCTCTGAAGCTGCTCTGCACTCTCCCTGCAGGATAAACTGCCAGGGAGTGTGACCAACATGTAATGGTGACAGGCGGGAATAGGAAAGCTCTTGAGAACCAGCTTTGTAGGGAAGCTCAACACAGAAGCACAGAGGCTGACTCAAACACACATCTTCTTCAACAGCCATATATAAAAACCTCAGAAAAAAGTCTGCATGAACCCTTACATGAGAGAACTCTGGCTGTGACGGTATAGGCAGGGATCCAGGGAAGAAGGCTGGGGCACTCTGCGACACCGGAGTTGAAGCCTGTGGCAGGACAAGAGCTGCTGCTGGGATACACGGGATGCCCATCTCCACCAGCGTATCCCCCCTCTGCTTCTGCACCAGCTCTCTTCCTTCTGCAGGGACAGATATATCCACCTGCCCATCTGGTTTGAAAGGGCAGAGGATACATTATTAGCAAATTCTTGCACTGTACCTAAGGTTTCCAACATAATATTAAAAGACTTGTCTTCAGTAATGTATGCAACATTCTCAAACTTTAATGGGTAAGTCTAAAATCTTCTCTCCAGGTGAAATCTTTTTGGAGGGAAAAAAAAAAAAGAAATCAACAAGAACATCCATATCCTTAAATTTAAGGGCAGGAGAAAATGTTCTGTTAAGAATTCATGTAACTTTTGCTACAGGTCTACAACTTCTACAGTGAGAAAAAGGTATCGGAAATTTATAAAAAGCATTTTATAAGGTGGGGTTTTTTTTCCCTTTTGCTATCTTTATTAAAAATGTACCAAATTCAGACCCCGGCTAACAAAATATGTATTCTAAAAGTATTACACATTTTATGACAGGAATCTCACAGAAAGGAATGGTGATTTTGTATAAAGTCTGAGTGGATTGATCTTATCCCTGATGGCAAACCGGTGCTTAGAGGAAATGTTTAAGAAACAAGGTATCATACAGAACAATCCCTCTTCTGGCATGGTGTTCTAGAATACACACATATAAAATACAAAGCTTTTTAAAATACTGTGTAAATCGAAGGTAAAGTAACTGTTACAATGCAGTCCTCCTCTATCCTTTCTATTGCCCTAAAAGTATATCGTTAGTACAGATATCTGCCTGTAGCAAGAATGGCTTGTCCCTAAGAAAGGGGGACAGTTGCAAGCAGCAATCTGTATCCCATATGAAGTACTTGCCCATCTTTCAAGTGAAGGGGAGCTAGCCCACAGTGCTAATTTGATGATGATAACTGTGCAGGACATACTGACAGTCCATCAGCATCTGGGTCACAAATACAGATCTCCCTTCACCTACCTCTTTGACTGTTCTCAATTCCTGCTTTACTCTTTAAATATAATCTTAGCAGGTTTTGAAAAGACTGCATGCTCAGACTAAACCTCAGAGCACAGAAACACAACCAAGAGAGGTATGCAGGAAACTTTACCTTTTGCTTGCTCCTGTTCAGTAGGAGTGCTGGGGACAAGAGCACTGGATCCAAAGGCAACAGGAGGAGGAGTAACTACGCCCGAAGAGACACTGTGGACCAAGGGAAAGGAACATGGAAAAGACAAAAGCATAAATCACTAGAAAATGCATTAACTTCTCCCCAAATGTAGCTCCAGCTTGTCACAATAGAAGTCTTCTCATAAAAGGAGAGTATCAGGTGTTCACTATCAGGAGGCCTGAGAAATGGCCATTGACCACATGGGCATCATTAGCTCATTTCATCACAAAATAAAGCCATGCTCCTCTCATAGCACAAAATTAAAACACTGAATGCTTAAAATCAAGCACAAGTCCTTAAATAAAGAAAACAGTAGTGGAAATACACTAATGCAATTAAGCTACTGCAATAGCTCAGGGATTATTTTTTTTTTGCTTACGTGGAATGACTCTCCTGTACAAGGGATCCCTGTCCGGAGAGCTGCAGGAGCTGCAGGCTGCGAGCAGGGGTACACGCCAGAGAACTTCCCTCTTCCACCCTGGCGATCGGACAGTCACTCCCTGCAACCATTTTGAACAAAAGGAAGTAAGATTATAAATCTGGCCAATAACCAAGTTGATCAGAAAATTCTGAGGAATGATATTCACACTACTGCACAGTTACTTCTCAGGCAAGGAAGGACAAGCTGATTTTTGCAGAGTTGGACTGCACATTAAAGTTCAGTATATGAAACGTGAGCATAATATAGTCAAGATGAAAAAGGTAAGTTTGTACCTATAGAATAGGTTTTTATTGGACCAGGCTGTACAAGTCTTTCTACTTGGGAATTTTAAAAGAAAAATCCCCAATGGCTCCAATATCAGCACATTCACTAGAATGGAAACACAGGCAAGGCTCTTACAGGATGACACCTTGCGCTGACCGCTGACTCGGAGGGAGCAGGAGGCTGTACTGAACCGTCCAGATACAGAGGGTTCACGGACAAGATCACACTGGTATAGACACACTTGTGCACAAATTAAAACTAAACAAAAAGCATGAAGTGAGACTTCATTTAGCTCATGCTTTATAAACTGTGACAAAGTTGCCTTTCAAAACTTTACTTTCTAGGCGTTTCATTATTAAGACTTAAGAACCTTTCTATTCCTTTATTAGCCTTTCAGTTGTGGATACCAAAACCAGACACAGACCTCCTCCTAGCAAAACATGCAGTGATGACCTCTCTCCTGATCCTATTTCAGGTAATCTCTTCTCTTACAGGGTAGGAACGTTAACCTAGATGACAAATAAGACTGACCAAAATTGTGGTTTGAGATTTTGATTGCAGGATCCTGTCCTATCCCAGATAGGTAAGCCAACTCAGAGGAGTAAGGTGCAATGTTTTGCCAAAGCTACCCAGCCTAAGAAAGTCGATAATATTTGCCTACACTACTTATCCACACTTTAGGTTGCATCACTACAAAGGCTGAGCATTATTACTGACAGTTTCAGAAGAGGGCAAGAGGGGTGGTTTTGGTTTTGTTCTTCAAGGGGCACAGAAAGAAGGGAAATTAAATGTATTTAACAAGCCAGTGTAACCGTTCTAACACTGAGTGACATTTAGACATTGCTCCACAGTAGAGAGAAAGAGGTTCTGGCCTTCCATTTCCAATGCATTCTCAATTTTAGCAGAAATTACATGAAAAATACTCACAGCACTCTGCACCCTAAAACACTACATGCCTAAAAAGATCAAGTAGAGATGATGGTTAGGACATTTTGGCTCTGCTTGTTTATTGTTACCTGTTGCATTACACTCAGGAAACATTTCTTCCTGAGTTGACAAGACATCCAGCTCCTCATGACCAGAATCAAGGGATTTCTCAGTTTTAGTGGGGTCACAGACAGGCATTTGTTTTCCAGTATGGTCTTCTACTTCCTGCAGAGTACTGGAAAAGCAAGACACAGTCACTGACCTGAGAAATTCAAAGTATGAAGTAAAATTGCAACACTGTAAAAAAAAAAATTTATCAGCATAGATGAAAGATATTAATTTGTGTATACCACAGGGGGAAAAAAAAAAAAAAAGACAAAAAAGACCGACCTTCCTCTCCTAACAAAACATGTTCATCCTTGGCAAGTTACACTTTCAGAACTGGCTTTTGTTTTCTACCAATCTAAGTGATGCTTAAATGGAATGCATATTGTTCTTCTGATTTCTATTCAATGTGGATTCTAAGAATTTTGTTTCACCTCTTTTTTAATATTATTTTGTGGCAGAATATGACAATACAAGATGAGCAAAATATTATTCTATCAGACATAAAGGATATAGAGAGAGTTTTCAACAACCTAAATTTTCACATTTAAAAACGATTATATAGCTTATAGTAGCAAATACTCCAAAGCATCCTGGAATAGGCACTGCTTAGCCTCTAGATTTCTCCTGTGAGGCCAAAGCCTGTGCTGCAGTGATTAAGTTATCTTGAAATAACTTGTGATTTAAATTGAATTATTACTTTAAAGTAATACTATTAACTTTTAAGAAAGCTTGGTATATTTTATTATCCAGTCCCCTCTCCCTTAAAAATAAACCTATTGATATCTTCATGTGGGAGTTTGACACCACCTCTCTTCTCAGCTGCAAAAACGTTGCATCAGTACTTCACCTTTCCTTCACTTTTCTCTTTTGCCTTGAAGCCTCAACCCTCCTATATCTAAAAATACAGTAAAAAAGCCACAAATCAACTTCCAGAATGTCAGCAAGAGACCTTCAAAGAATATGGACTGGTTTACCTTTCTGACTTCTCTGCCTGGCCTTCCAAAGCAGTATGTGCTTCTGTGCTGGAGACAGTTTCTGTGCTATCCCCATGCAGTTCTAGCAAGAGAAAACAACAAAAAAAAATTGTTACTTGAGTCACCTGGATTAATACAGAAAGAGAAGAAAGTGTAGTTCTTTTAAATTACACAAATATTACAAGAAGTTTTACACGTAAAAAAAAATAATCTTGAGCTAGCAATGAAACGACAACCAAAAAAAGGACAGAATGAGTTTTTTTACCAGGAAGGGAATTCACTATCAGATTATTTGAATATTCTGGAAACAAATGAGGAAAGAGACATGCAAGAATCAATGACGGCACTTGGACAGCTACAAGAAAACAAGCTCAAAGGAAAGAGAAGGCAAAATTCTTTTCAACTACTTTCAACCAATGAGCAGTGAACTCATTTTTGAAAATGACTAATACTGTATTCCCTGTCAAAGAAATGTAACATCTATAATTTAAAGACACCAGAGAGAATTGACAGAGCAACAAAAGGACATCCAAGATCATTTTCATGTACCATCTTTAGTATCGTTCTTCACAAGTCTGGAAGAAGGGACAGCAGCTCCAGGGTGAAACTGATGCTGAGCATCTCCCTCACTGGGCACGGAGTCACTCTCAAAATCCTGGCTCTGTGAGAGCTCTAGAGCTCCAAAAGGCAGCTGCGACATGCCTGTATCTAACATCAAACATCCATAACTAGCGTACATACCCAAAAACACAACATCAAAGAACCATCTATCACTTTACAGGGACAAAAGATACACCCTCTAAGGAGAAAAGCATTAAGGCTACTGCTGAAACTTTACTGAATAAACCAACACTGATCTCAGCTGTACCAATTAAAAATACAGTAAGAGAACAGGAACAGTGGCCATTAACATAAACCAGTGTTAATCAGCAAGGTCTTACACAGCGCCACCAGGTACTGCAGCAGATTTGGATTCCGTGACGAGGAAACAATCCTGACAATACACAGCCGGTGCCTGAAAGTCATTTGATGACAACCACCATGATGCCAAGAGTTCTTTGCCATAAAAAGGCTTCCTCTCCTAATGGCCACGATGCATCCGTGCTCTTCTAAGCCACTTCCTGTCTCCAGTATCCTTGTTAACAATGCTATGAAATCACCATTTTGTATTCTCAAATACCAAAGCATACAGATCAACTTCCGGGAAAATACACCGATTTCTAACCCATTATTACCGGCACAACTACACCCAGTGGGACGAGTGAGGCAGCTGAACTGAAAAACTACACAGATAGTTGATCGGATTCACAGCCCCAAGAGACCCGAAACGGAGAAGTTACCTTCTACACAGGGCGAAGCAGCAGAGTCCTCGGCATCACCTTCAGAGCCTTCCCCAGCCTTCCCAAGGGCACTGCAACACAGAGACTCACTCACGCGGCTGCGGGGTTTCCCGCAGGCTTCTTACAGCCCCGTCGTGCTCCGAGGGGCTGCAGCCCCCGCCCGGGCGCTCCCGAGCCC